GAGGGGTAGGGGAAAGGAAAAAAGGGAAAAGAAAAAATATAAGAAAAGGAAAAAAATGGAAACAAAGTCTTTGCAAATAGGGAAGGGTGGAGGGGTGAAGGGAGGGCAGGGAAAGGGGAAAAAAAAAGAACCAAGATACTCATGTAAAGGTACAGGATCCCAAAGATGAATGTAACTGTATTTTATACCTAAAATGTACCAATAAACTTAATGGGGAAAAAAAATTTTTTTAATTAAAATTAAAAAAAAAAGACTTAGAAGAATTGAGTAGATGCACATGTGAATACCCACTTTACCATCGATCAAGCCGAATTAATATGCCCCCCTTGGGTCTGCAGCCATAACCAGTTTTCCTGGTAATTTCTTCAAAGTTGAGTCTTGGAATGACTTATCTGCAGGTGTACTTAGATCTGGAGAGCAGACTGCTTGTCTCGAATCCCGTCTTTACACCTTAGTAAGCCCGTGAGGCAGATAAGAAGTGGGCTTCAGGCTCACCTCCAGAAAGCATGCCTGACCCACTTCCCTTCAACATTCCCTCCTAAGAATAGGAACCCGGCAGAGCCCAAGTCTGCTGCCAGTGAGGAGCTGGCTGCCCAGTTCCTCCTCCCAGCCTAATTCATTCTCTGGGTGGAGCTGAGTTCAGGAGGTTCAGAGAGGAAAGATCCTACTTTTCTCTCCTATGGAGTGGGAGCTTCAGTGCATCCCCTTAGTAACATCCTGCCAATGCCAGGACCTTATCTTGGTAGGTTTGTAGGTGTGCAGGATCTGCTGGGGTCTGTTCGGAATAAGAGCTCTGGAAGTTGCTTTCTTTACCCTTTGAAAGTCATTGACAGAAGTCTTCTGTGGACCCTTAGGGTGGATTGGTAATGGGTCCTGCAGTGTAACGGGATCTCCATATTACGTGTTTCTACACAAAGTTCCCTAGGAGAACCTTTTTTTTGTTTAATCTTATTTTATTGGTACATTTTAGGTATACAATATAATGACATTCATCATTGCAAATTTGCACCTTTACATAATCTCTCTTGGTTCTTATTTTTC